GAAAGTGAAAACAGCAAGGTTGAGGTGAAGGATTGATCAAAGTATAGTTTATATTTATTCAGAAGATCTACCATTACTTTAAAACAATCTGTGTTTGACATGGCAAACTGCCTGTCATTTAAATGCTAATGAAATGGTAAATAGCTGCTAAGTTTTTTATGCTAATGAGTAGTGTCACTTAAGAAGTTCTCAAGCCTTGTCTTTATTAACATAGAGATTTGATTGGGTAAGGGGGAACATTGTGCATGCCAGCCTTTGTTGATGGAGTAATCTGTTTGTGAAGTTCCCTGTTGCATTCTATTTTATTTGGATTTTTTAGTATAAAGTGACTCTCACCAGGCCCTCAGGTACCAGGTACACAGTATTATCAGAGCCACCATTGTGGGCTTAGAGAAAGAATTTTGCTTCCCTTCAGGAGACCCACAATGGCAAAATAATTACGTATTTGTTTATTGTTCAGCTTTAAGTAGAATGAGTCTATACATTTACTTTAGACATTTAATGACTATAGTAATAATAAATTAAGACAGGCTACTGGTATAACAAATATTTCTGTTTTTTAACTTAGCTAAGAGTTTAAAGCAAAGCTTTTAAGATAAATATTTTAATAAGGGCTTCTGCAACATTTGATACATTTATATAATACATCATTATAGATCTATAAGCACTGAAGTTAACATTACCTAATTTGAAGAGTAATGTGTAATTAAATACAGGGTGGTTATGTGAATCAGAGTATTTACTTGAGCATCAGAAAAAAAACATTACTCTCAATCTATACTTTTGGCTGGTTCTATTTTTGCTGAGTGCTACTCTGCTTTCCCTAATGGACGGGGCTGACCTCAAGACTTGCCATTACAGATAAATGCTTTAAGCACCCTTCTCTCTTTTTTCTCTTCTGTTTTTAGGATCAATGTAAATGAAGTATGACAGTCCATTAAACACTATTGCCAATAATGTTCTGGAACAATTTGAAATATGATACAGAGTTTATTAAGAAAATTCATTACCAAAAAAGAATCATTGAAATAGAAATTGTAATGAGTCTACGACACTATGTAAAAAATTGGTGGAAATTTTAAGAGCTAGAGCATTATCTCATATTGTTCATTTCTCCTTGAAGTCAATAGGAGACGTTAGGCATATAATTCTTATGTGGTCCTATATAGGCAGGCCAGGAAAAATTGGAACCCTCATACACTGATAGTTATCACTTAAAATGTTTCAGACCCTTTGGAAAACAGCCTGACACTTCTTCAAAATACTAAGCCATCTAGTTACCAGATGACCCAACAATTTCCAAAATTTGACTCCCAGGTATATACCTGAGAGAATGGAAAACATATATCCACATAAGAATTTGTAAATGAATACTCATAGTAGCATTGTTTATAATAGCAAAAAAGCGGGAGTAATTCAAATGCCCATTAATTGATGAATGGATAAGCAAAATTTGGGACATCCATACAATAGACTATTATTAAGCCCTAAAAATGAATGAAATTCTGATACGTTCTACAAAATAGATAAACTTCAAAAACATTATGTCAAATGAAAGGAGTCACAAAAGACTACATGACATATTATATTATTTCATTTAAATGAAATGTCCAGAATAGTGAAATCTAGAGATAAAGAAAATAGACTAGTGGTTGCCAGGAGCTAGGGATATTAGGAGGAACTGGGGAGTGACTGCTAATGGATAAGAGTTACTTTTAGATGTCATAAAAATGTTCTAAAATTGATTATGATAATGATTGATTTGGAATTCAAAATAGCCTAATGTTATCTTGAATCATAGCTCCCATAATCCCCACATCATGGGAGGGACCTGGTGAGAGGTAATTGAATCATATGGGCAGGTTTTTCCCATGCTGTTCTTGTGATAGTGTATAAGTCTCATGAGATCTGATGGTTTTATAAAGGGGAGTTCCCCTGAACACCTTTTCTTGCCTACCACCATGTAAGACATGCTTTTGCTCCTCCTTCACCTTCCATCATGATTGTGAGGCCTCCCCAGCCATGTAGAACTGTAAGTTCATTAAATCTCTTTTACTTTATAAATTACTCAGTCTCAGGTATTTCTTCATAGTAGTTTGAAAATCTCTACCAAAAAAAAAACTGTGAAACATTGATGAAAGAAATCGAAGAGGACACACACACACAAAAAATGGAAGATATTCCATGTTCATGGATTGGAAGGATCAATATTGTTAAAATGTCCATACTACCCAAAGCAATCTGCAGATTCAGTGTAATCCCTATCAAAATACCAATAACAACATTTTTCACAGACATAGAACAGGCTACCCTAAAATGTATATGGAAGCACAAAAGATCCAGAATAGCCAAAGTTAACCTGAGCAAAAATAACAAAACTGGAGGAATCACATTACCTGACTTCAAATTATTCTTCAGAGATATAGTAACCAAAACATTATGGTACTTGCATAAAAACAGACACATAGACCAATGGAACAGAATAGTGAACCCAGAAATAAATCTGTACATCCACAGTGAACTCATTTTTGACAAAGGTGCCAAAAATATACATAGCGGAAAGGACAGTCTCTTCAATAAATGGTGGTGGAAAAGCTGAATGTCTATGTTTAGAAGAATGAAACTAGACCCCTATCTGTCACCATATACAAAAATAAAATCAAAATGTATTAAAGATATAAATCTGTGATCTCAAACAATAAAACTACAACATGAAAACATTGGGGAAACTCCAGAATATTGGATTAGTAAAAAATTTCTTGAGCAATACCATCCAAGCAGTCAAAGAAAGCAAAAATGTATGGATGAGATTACAAGTTACAAAGCTTCTGCACAGCAACAAAAACAATCAACAAAGTGAAGAGGCAACCCATAGAATAGGAGAAAATATTTGCAAACTATCCATCTGATACAGGATTATAACCAGACTAGATAAGGAGCTCAACCAAGTCTATTTTAAAAATCTGAATAAAAAATAGGCAAAAGATCTGAAAAGACATTTCTCAAAAGAAGACACATCATTGATCTTCAAAAACTGGCAATCAAAACCATAATGAGATATTATCTCACCCCAGTTAAAGTGGCTTTTATTCAAAACACAGATGATAACGAATGCTGGCAAGGATGTGGAGAAAAGGGGACCCTCCTACACTGTTGGTGGAAATGTAAATTAATACAGCTGCTAAGGAAAACAGTTTGGCAGTTCCAAAAAAACTAAAATTTGAGCTACCATGTGACCCAACAATCCTACTGCTAGGTATATACCCCAAAGAAAGAAAATCAGTATATCAAAGACATATCTGCACTTCCATGTTTATAGCGAAACTATTCACAATAGCCAAGATTTGAAAGCAACCTAAGTGTCCATCAACAGATGAATGGAAAAAGAAAATGTGGTACATCTATACAATAGAGTACTATTCAGCCATGGAAAGAATGAGATCCTGTCATTTGCAACAACATGGATGAAACTGGAGGACATTATATTAAGTGAAATAACCCAGGCACAGAAAGACAAACTTCACATGTTCCCACTTATTTGTGGAGCTAAAAATTAAAACAATTGAACTGGAGACAGAGAATAGAATGATGGTTACTAGAGATTGGGAAGAGGGGAAGGGAGTGGGAATGGTTAATAGGTACAAAAATATAGTTAGAGGCTGACTGTGGTGGCTCACACCTGTAATCCCAGCACTTTGGGAGGTCAAGACTGATGGGTTGCTTGAGCCTAGGAGTTCAAGACCAGCATGGGCAATGTGGCAAAAACTCCGTCTCTACAAAAAGTACAAAAATTAGCCAGGTGTGCTGGCATGTGCCTGTGCTCCCAGCTACTTGGGAGACTGAAGTTGGTGGATCACCAGAGCCCGGGGAGGTCAGGGCTACAGTGAAAGATGATCACGTCACTGAACTCCAGCCTGGGTGACAAAGTGAGACCCTGTCCTGAAAAATAGTAATAATAAATAAATTTAAATTAAAAAATAAAAATATAGTTAGAATGGATAAGATCTAGTATTTGATAGCACAATAGGCCTACTATGGTCAAAATAACTTACTGTACATTTCAAAATAACTAAAAGAGCTTAACTGGATTGTTTGTAAAGCAGAGAAAGGATAAATGCTTGATGGGATGGATACTCCATTTACACTGATGTGATTATTATGCATTCTGTGCCTATATCAAAATATCTTGTGTACTTCATAAATGCATGTATCTATTATGTACCCACAAAAGTTAAACAATTTTTTAAAATAGTCAACCAGGAAAAAATAGAGGTGACAGCTAATTTAACTGCTAAAAAGGATATTTGCTACAATAATACAAAACTCATTAGAAATAAGAGTCGAAGATAAAAATTTGAATCCTTCTCCTAACTACTGCCTGTCCCCGAATACCGTCTGCAGCCAAGCCATAATAAACCCTTTTAGTCTTTAACTATCCAATGTCTAGACTACCTATTCACCTCAAAGTAAAAACAACTTTCAGAAATTTTTCTTTTTTAAGAGAACAAGTTGAATCATACTTTGAGAGCAGACAGTAACTATACAGGTTCAAGTTACCTTACTTTTGTAAAAACCCTGTACTTATATTTGATTTACATAAAACCTGTCTACTAGCCATTCAGTAATTCTGAATAGCAAAGAGTGTCTGGCTTCAAGATGCTCCTCCCCGCTTCTCTCCTGCACTTCTGGCTAGTCAGAAGCAAAGAGTTGGCCAACAGGACATTCTCATTCAGCCTGACCCACCTGCCAGTAGGATCTGTCTACTAGGTGTCCTGGCTGAGTCTGAGCATTTCTCAGCCCTTGCTCATAGGGAAGTGTTGTGCATCACTGTCTTGGATAATGAGGAGGAAGATCCTTTTTATTGTGTTTACTACTCCTGTGCCATTTGCTTACTTCCAGCATAACTCTCTTGCACAACAGATTTGTTCTTGCACTACAGATTTGGGAGGGAGATAGATGTAAGCCAGAAATTGAATTCATTTTTGTTTTGTTCTTGGCAGGTAGTACATGCCACACTACTACCCTTCCTGCTCTTGTGCGCACACCTACCCTGATGATGCAGCCTTCACTGGATATCAAACCATTTATGTCTTTTCCAGTGGACAGTAGTTCTGCTGTTGGGCTCTTTCCAAATTTTAACACAGTGAGTAAATTCATTTCTATTTTATTTCTGTTCTCCTCCATTGCTTTCATTACATTTGGGAATAGTCAATGGATATAGCCTGTTTCCAAAATATGTAATTTTAGACCATATGTTGGTTATGCTGCTCCGTTGTTCTATGAAAGATAATTCTTCACCCATGGGAGTAGCCCAAACAATAGCCAGCATGTTTATTATACAAATATTTCCACAGAAAACTTTTCACTTGTTGTGTTGTACAATCTTGATAAAATTTTCAGTGGCTTTGGAACATATGTCACTTCCGGGATGTTATTCACATACTCAGGAACATAATTTAGAGATACCAAGACATGTTGATTTTTCCCTTCTTTTAGAAAGAAAATAAAAAAAATGAATGTAGGCCATGTCTCTCTGGCTGCATTTTTATTTGGGAGATATTTTAGATAAAATGTGACTCTTACACAAACAAAATTTATATTTGGGGGCTATTGTAGATTATGTGAATTTGACTGTATTAAGAAAAAGAAAAACACTCATTTTAAATCTATATATTAGCTATCTGCAAGATACTTTGACATTTTAAAATCTATGATAAACGTTAGTGAATTACCTATAATTACTAATGTTCTTCAGGTCTGCTGACTTTCTTTTATTTGAATGAAAAACATTTTGTAGGTGTGTCAAGTGGAGCATGAAATATTTCAACAATAGAATTTAGCATAAAATCAATCTGTAGCCAGATTCTAAACCTTATAGTAAAAGAAAAGGTTCAACAGTTCAGGTGAATGCATAAATTGTCAGCTTGGTTGATAAATACAGTCAGTTGGGTCATGATGGTCTACATAAAGGATACAGCATTTTAAATGCTGCTGTAATAAAAAAAATAATTGCATTATCTACAACATGCCACAGCGAGCATCTGAAGTATTGCCAAATGTTTCATTTTTCAACCTTATTTTCTGTATGAAGTGAAAATAGCAAGAGAATTTTTCCTTAAGGATTTTCAATAAAATCTGCTGACAGGCCCTCTGTCAGGGCTTAGAGTTGTAAGGTAATTAGAGGGTAGGGCATCAGCCAACTTTTTACAGAGCATTGGCCTTGACTTAGTAAACAGTTGAATGTTTTTGTCTTCTTTGAGTTTTTCAGAGACGAGTCAAACAGTTAATGAAAGAAAAGCTATAAAAGGTGAGCATTGTTCCTTGAGTAGTGGAGTGGCTCAGTAGGATAAAACATGCCTGCCTTGGTTCCATCAATCGATCCAACTCCTCCCAGAGCACCACATTACACCATTTCAGAGAACGTGAACTTGATGATGCCAATGGTATCCTCTATTCAAACATTTGTGATAAATTCCAAACATAACTGAATTAAGCTGTACTTCAAAAAATATTTATGAGGTCTTTAGAAGTTAGCATTTATAGCCATTGCAGAAATCTAGCTGCTGTCAGGAAGCAGCATTCATGGTGCAAGTAGTCATAAATGGCTTACTGTGGCGCACCTCTCTTTATTTATTTTCTTTGACTTTTTACTGTATTTATTTATTCGAGACAGCCTTGCTCTGTTGCCTAGGCTGGAGTGCAATGGCATGAGCTCAGCTCACTGCAGCCTCCACCTCCCAGGTTCAAGTGATTCTCGTGCCTCAGCCTCCTGGGTAGCTGGGATTACAAGTGTACGCCACCATGCCTGGCTAATTTTTGTATTTTTGATAGAGACAGGATTTCAACCCGTTGGCCAGGCTGGTCTCAAACTCCTGGCCTCAAGTGATTCGACCGCCTCCACCTCCTAAAGTCCTGAGCTTATATGTGTGAACCATTGTGCCGGCCTCTTTATTTATTTTTTTAAACATAAATAATACATGAATACTTATTCTAAAAATTCAAATAAAACCAGCATTCAAGGTAAAATTAGAAAGTCACATTTCCTACCCCTGCACACACTTTTACTTCCTTCACTAGAGGAAGGTGGTCAGCAGCTAGTATCGATCTTTCCAATCCCCTTCTGGAAGTATGTTATGCATATACCTAAAGGGTATCTAGTCACAGTTTTGTTTTTCACAATTGCAATCAAATAATTAGCACTAATCTGTTAGTCACATTTTTGGTTATCAAAATGTCTTACATCTGACTCTCTGTTTTGAAGAGCTGTAAAACAAAAATTGAGAGAATATTTTCATAAAGCATTTTTAAAGATAAAGTTACAATTTCATAATGGTTTATTAATGTTGCATAGAGGGTACAGATGCACTAAAATGCCTTTTTGTTTGTTTGATTAATTGTACACAGCAGTTAATCTTATTATATATTTGAGAAAACCCAAAGAATAATTATATTAATAGAAGTTCATTTTTTTCCTTCTTGGAAGAAAATTAACATAATTTTCAAATAAAAATACTATTTGGGGAAGGTGAAGAATACCACAAAGAATTACATGAAATAATTATTTTACTCTCCCTATATTATATGCACAGCATTTATTAAGCAGAGAGCTCTTCAAGTAATGTATTAAATATAAAGTCATTATAAGCGGAACCCCTATCATCTTGTAAGAAATGAATTTATGTGATCATTGGGTGACCTATGATTTTTCACTGTGAGTTGGAATTTAAATTACTCTAATCCTTTTCCTATAGACTTTCCATTCTGTTATCCAACTCACCCAACAGAATACCTAAGGGAATGTCATGAAAGTCATTGTCCACATTTTCCTAGGAAAATGCTATTATATCACCATTTGTAACTACACTGGATTATTGTATATTTGTGATTTTTCCATCTCTCAAAGTACTTAGACCTCAAAACGTTTTGGTAGGCCACTATTATTACTCCTATTGTCTAGAGGAAGAAAGATAGTTATTGAAGGAAGAACTGAGACTTGAATTAGAATCTTTTTAACTTCAAAACTCATGTTTGGGCCCTACGTTCTTGAGTCATTTGGCCCATATCACCTCCCACCTCATTCACTGTGAACAAAGCTCAATCAGAAATCTTTTGTACTCTTTTCTGGAACTGTGGTAGGCAATTTTCAATAGAATCATTAAATAGAGGAAATGGTTTTTTTGCATGTGTATAATAGACCTCTACAAACAATACGAAGCAGAATATATTTGAAAAACAGCTATAATTTCTTGTTGGCAAAATTTTTAAGTATATTGTACTCAATAGTCCATCTGTTCTTTGAAAACTAGGTGAAATTTACCATATCTCTTTATTTTTAACCAAGGTTAATATTAGTAAATATAAGAAATGAGGCCAATTTTCATCTTATAATTATTATCAGAAGAATGAAAACACTATGCTGGGACACCATAGCTGAAAGTTTTGAAGGTTTGATGTTTTGTTATTCTCTTTAAGTAGATTTTTAAAAACATATAATGTTTTCCTCTACTGAGACCAGCTCAGCCATAGAGACCCCCACCCAGAGGCACTGAAGGCATTAAGAAGCAGACACCCAGACAGAATAGTAAAGTGGGACTACTTGGGGGCCAACAGTCTTCCGAGCAGAGAGTTTCAGGGGCCTGACAGCATTCTGGGCTGAGAGCCTCCAGCAGACTCTGACCTACATATTTATTCTCTCTGAACAATGATTATTATTAACAAACAGGTGTTCTGTTTTCTCATAGAACCAAGACAAACTAGGTAGGCAGCTGGTGCCTACTTACCACTGATCAAGGACAAACTAGAAAGTATTCTCCACGAGGGAGCCACAGGGAGCAGGGTCACATATCCTGTGCTTAAAGAATTGTTTTAACTGGTGTATGATATACATATACTGTTTTGCTACTTTAGAATGCCCTAAGCAGTTTTCCACTTAGCAGGGGGTGGCTAGGTTTTTTTTGCCATCATTCTTCTTAGCAAACAATATAATTTTATCATACACTCAGCATTTCTCAGCATTCCTCTTTCTTATAGTGAAGTATAATATTATCTGATAAACATAGAAAGAATGAAATGAGATTATGTTGTATTCCAATATAGAATAAATGCCTGTTCTATGCTAAGTTGTACCCAATGAAGAAATATCGGGTTCTTTTAGTGGTTGCCTTGCCTTATCCACCACAACTGACAGAATCTCTCTCAATGCTTAGGTATGAAAAAATAAGCAAATTATTTTAGTCTTTGTATAAGCAGAGTTTAAAGAGACATGATAAGGAAGATGGAGTTTGGATCATTGATAATTTATGATGGAGTACATGCTAAGGACACATGTACTCCATGTACATGTACTCATGTACATGACTGGAGGATGATGATGTTAACTCTGTGCTTCAGCAGTGTACTTTACAGAGGGGATGTTTTGAGTCATTATAGGTAAAAACCTGTGTGGACCAAAACATAAATTTTAAAAAATCTTGATCCTGATATTCCAAAACCTGTGCCTGGCTACACACTAAAGCTCATTTCCACCACTGCTACCCTACCTTCATCTATGTGTCATTCAAAGTTCAACTTAGATAGCACCTCCTTCCCAGAAAGTCTTCTGTGACTCTTCAAGTCTGAATTAAGTTCCATCCTTTGTGTTCAAAAGTAGCCCCAGATTACACCAATTATAGCACTTATCACACCATAGTCAAATTACCTGCTAATCTTTCTTCTTCACTAGAACATCAGATCCTTGAGGACAGAGGCTCTATCTTATTCACCTTAGCATGTTGGGTGTCTGACACAGGTGCTCAACAAAATTTTTTGGAAGAGAGGAAAAGTCAGAAGGAAGGGCCCCAGTTCCTTGGTTTTCAATGTTCATACTCCCCAGTCTCGTAAAAGGAACATTAACATTTATGAGTCCCTTCTAAGACCAGATGATAAGCCCAAGTACTTAACTTTATTTTTATATTCCTGAGAACTCTCATTGTTTTCTAGGCTAAAGGCAATAGTTACAAACTCCATTCCAGCTATAGTGCCCAGTGCTCACTGTTTGGTTGGTGTATGAATATTGGGAGTTTACTACATTCCTTGTCCCAGAACCCAGCTTTAGAGTATTTAAAAACAAAATTGTTAGTTACTGGATTTTATGGAAAATATATG